TTTATCAACTAATAGTCCACTTCTGGAATTACTGTTGCTCTATGGTAAACCTTAGTATCAAGCAGAATGATTACATCTATTTTATTCTTAGCTTCTATAAGCTGTGCCTGTTCATTTAAATTTTAGGATAAGCTTTTCGACATTTCCCAAAAAAGACTTTGCAAGAATTTTGTTACAAATCAGACTAAATTAATTTGAGAAGGAGTAACATCTTTGTTTGGTTTAGTTGTCCAACACTTGGGCATCATGTGTCTCTTTTTGTTTTCTTTGATTTCTTTCAATCAGCACTTTGTGATTTTTAGCATTCAGATACTACACACATTTTGTTAGATTTACACCTATTTCATTTTCTTTGGAGCAATTGTAAATGGTATTAAAATTTTACTTTGTTTCCACAAGTTCATTGTTAGTATATACAAATCCAATGGATACTTTTGTATTGATTTTTGTCTTATTCAACCTTGTTGGACTTAATTCTTAGTTCTAGTTTCTTATTTTATTTTGTAGAATCTTTGGGATTTTATATGTAAACAATTATGTCTTCTGTTACAAGGTTGGGGGGTCAGGATACATGGAGCCTTGGTCCCTTTTTCTGTTAGGTTGAAGCTTATCAAGCTCTCTCCAGCTGTGTTGTTTTTCTAGTCCCAGGGTCTCCTAATTAGCGTACTGTTCTCGTCCCACCTCTTGTAGTCCTCCTTTGGTTGCCTCTTGTTTTATTTCTAGGGTTCACAGTTGAATTTAGTGGGGAGGAGCAGAAAGAGGCAATCTATCCCATCCTTTAAGCAGAGCGGTAACAAAGCTAGACTGGTGTTTTAAAAACGAGTGGCGATAGTCTGGAGTGAGTCAGGTCTGCATTCAATACCAGACTTCCCACTTACTCAATATGACCTGGGATTTTACCAAGGCATCCCTAAATGTGTTTCCTATCTGTAAACTGGGAAGAATGGGGGATCTTTTTGAGGACTGAATGACGTCACAGGTCTAAAGCGCTCATTGCTGTGTCTGATCTGCCAGTTACTGTTAACACATTTACAATTCTAGAACAATGTGGGAAGGACAGACTGAAGCAGGATAAGATTTAAAACAGAGAAATTTGCAGCTGCCCACGCAGAAATAAAGAATGCTTAAATCAGGCCAATGAAAACAGGAAATGTCCTCCCTTAAATGGCATATGCTGAGAATACTGGCTTGGCCAAGTCACATTTGCAGGAATCTTAGGCAATCAAGAATTCTGAGCAGACATTCTTCCCCTGCGAAAAACATAGCACTGAGGACAAATGATCAGGAAATGTGTCGTCCCTGCTCACTTGATGCGAAGCCACCCTGAGAGCACTGTGGGAGTGGCTGGGCTGGAATCCAGAACTAAGACTACGGAATAGCAACGTGGACCTGCAGCGGCAAAGGTGGCCCTGCCTCAAGGCCCTGATTTTCCTCGACTCTGCAGGAGAACTTGATGTTGGAAGTCAGCCTGTCCTTCACTCCCAGGCTGGGCTGAGGCACCTGAGGATGCCAGGATTTCAGTAGAAAGCCTGGGGCCAGATCCTTCACAGAGGACTGAAGAAGACAGGAGAGGGTGGATTTGCAGTGCTGGGTCTCCATTCCCTTCAGGCCAAACCAGCCACAGGCAGGAATGAGCGTGCAGCATGCCTAACACAGTGCCTGACAGAGCGATAAATGTCCATCCCCTGGCACTCCACCACCTAGTCTTCTTTCTTTAGCATATGAGGTGGCCAGGCAGGGTCACACATTTACAGAGCAACTCTGCTCTCCAGGGAAAACCATTTGGCATGGGCTCCTGGAGTGTCTCATAATTCCTAGAAACCAGTGATGAAGCTGTGCATGAGATCCAGGTACCAAGACACATCCTGTACATTCTGTGACGATGAGGAATCTTGCAGGAAAAACAGGCTTGGTGGTCCAGGGCCTCTCTGGCACCCTGGTTGAAAGAAGCGAGCCTGCACATTGCTCCTCGGGTTCTTCATGAAGAAGCTATTCTGGCTACGGAAGGCTCTCTGGGCTCTTGGGAATTCCTGAGATTGGTAATTTATAAAGAAAGGAGTTTATTTAGCTCATGGTCTGCAGGCTGTACACGAAGTGTGGTGCCAACATCTGCTTCTGAGGAGGGCCTCAGGAAGCTTACAGTCACAACAGAAGGCAAAAGGGGAACAGATATGTCACATGATGAGAGGCAGCAAGAGACAGAGAAGGGGGAGGTCCCAACCTCTTTTAAGCAACCAGATCTCCTGTGAACCAACTGAGGAAGAACTCACTCATCACCAAGGGGATAGTTTGACTCCTTCAAACAGATCATGTACTGACTCCAGAAGAAGCTCCGCAGGCAGCCTTTCTGGCTGCTGGTGCCATAGACCCTCGCAGGAGTGAATTTAACATCTATTCTGTTCCCAAGTGACCCTGAAGTTCCATGGTACATAACAATTTTTGTCAGAGTCTTGTGTGCTGAGATGTTTTCAACTGGGAGCAAGAACTATAGACAGAAAGCACCCTGGACAGGATTTATTAATGCCTCTGCTCATCGCTGGGCTCTGTGCTAATGGTCCTGGGCGAGAGGAAGGTCCTCAGGTGGGAGGTGAAGCATCTGTGAACTTTGCAGTTCATGTCTGTGACCTTGAAAAGAGGCTTGTGCCTCTTCAGAAACCATGGAGCTGGCATGGACATGAGCTTTCACATCACATCAGTAGTTTCTCTACACATTTCTGTCATCTCAAGAGTGAGTGGCTGTTAGGATCTAACTGCTTTTTGAGGGCTGGTTGACTAACAGGCCTTCTCCACCCATGGCACCTGAATGGATCAAGGCAGGAGAGTGGGTGTGGACAGAAGAAAGAATGCTTTATTTTTTCCTCTATTCACCGAAACAAGCCACACTGGTACCCGAAAATGCTATACATTAAACGTATTGACTTTGTCAAATCCGTGGGAGAGGCTGCAACACCCTGGGCAGTGGGGAAGCAGAAGCAAGTAGGACATGGTTCCAGCTCCAGTGCAATTCAGGGTCCCGTGTATTGCATTTCCTCAAATAAGGCCAAAGTCTGTAAATGCCAGCAAGAGCTGGAAGCAAAGTGCTAAGCAAGGCAAAGATGAAGTTTTAACTCTGAAAGGGCAGGATGTTGAAGGGCGGGGGTCCAGGTCCAGGTCTCCTTCAATCTGTGGCAGGACATGAATTCCCGGCATCAATATGGTGGCCAATTGTTTCATCTCCCTAGAGCCCAGCTCCTCTCTTTCAGTCGCAGCATCTTGGTTCTCCACTGAGGAAATTTTTTTTCTCTAATCCCTGTCCACGTGGGCATCTTGCCCCTTGTCCCTCCCCTTTTACCTGAGCCCCAGCTGGAGGAATCATTAATCAGTGTAGCCCATCCCTCTGGCCACACTGACTTTCTCAGAGATGGACATGACTACATTTGTGAGATGAGACTTAGTCATGGCTGATATGGTTTGGATGTTTGTCCCCTCCGAATCTCATGTTGAAATGTGATTTCCAATGTTGGATCTGGGAGGGTGTCAGGCATGCATGCCTCAGTGACAATATGTGGAGGGCCATCTTGGATGGTGATGCCCATGGTGCTGGTTCTCTGCCCAGAAATCTGCAAAGAAGCCCCAGAGCCCAACATGGCTCCCCTAGAAGTCCTGTGTACACAGAGCGCCCGATATGTAAAGGGCCGCCCCTACCCTGGACTGTGCCTGATGTCCACAGGGAGTGTCCCATCTTCTGCCTGCAAGACCACAGGGCTCTCAACCTTGCTGTGGAGGAGCCCAACCCCAGCCGTCTCCCAAGCAGGGTGGCTAAGGAGGGAGTTGCCTCAACAGGCCCTGGGAGGCACCCAGGGAGAGGAGCTGGAGCCCCCTCATCATTGTAGACTGGCTTTATTCTACCCTCCATTCCCTGGGCAGTCGTTAGCAAAGAGCCCCGGCCGTGCACCCAACTTCTGATGTGGCAGTGAGACCTGGCAGGGACACAAGCCTTCCATCAATGGATGGCAGCTTCACCCCAGGGCAAGCCCAGGAGGCCCCAAGCAGCTTATCACTAGAGCACGAGGTCTCCAGATGCCAGGGTGCCCACCCAGCCTGTGCTTCCTGCTGTGAGGCTGTCACGCCTGAGCCAGCCGCTTACAGAGACATCGAGGGAGGAAACTCATACAGATGGGAGAGATCGGACAACACGCAGTTCAAAGGACGCCCCAGGCAGTAAGAAACAAAGCAGCCCAGGCCTGGCCTGCCCTGGATGTGTGCCGCAAAGAGAGCAGCTCCTGTCCCTACGATGTCTTTGTTTCACTATGGACACATGGTCGGCCCCCGTGGCACCTAGGGCAGCACAGGTGCAATGAAGACAGCCAGAGGGGCTGGAGGTGTCAGCCACGCTCACACAGGCCACACCCGGTCCCGCTCAGATCCTCTGACCCCTTGCGTCTGCATTTCCCAAGTGCTCCCTGGCTCTGAGAGGCTCACAGCATCAAGTCTGGGCACTGTCCTTCCTCCACCAGGCCCACCCTGGGTCCCCGTGCTGACGTCCCTCTACCTGAGAGGGACGTTCTTTTTTACTCTGCCCAGTCAATCTCTACTTTTCTTTCTTAATGTTCCAGCTGGCGTCACCTCCTTGTAAACCGTTCTCTAACACCCAAGCTAAGCAAGGTCTTCCTTCCTGGCACACACAGCAGGTCTGTGTTGATTTTACACTAGGACACTTCACATTGTATTAGTTAGATGGTTACAAGGGCCTGTTACAAGGCCCTTGATTCCAACCCAGACCCCTCCCTTTATTCCTGGTAAGTGCCTGGAAGTGAGGCCCACAGTCAGGGTGGCTCGTGTGTGCGTGACTGCAGGAGTAAAAGAGAGAAATAAGACATCTGCCCAGTTATTGGATCCATCATGGGGACGTTTTGCATCCTGGAAGCCATTTGTGGGGATTGCTGGGCTGGGTGTTCATGGTAACTGCAGAAGTTCCAGTCACCATGGAAACTTCTAGAAACACTGAGTGAGTCCTGGTTGGATCCCAGAGCAGGGAGGATGTCTGCCTCAGCTTGAGGAGCACTGAGGAAGTTCTGTTTTGTCCTCTCTGGTGGTGACCCTGCGAAGCATCCACCACTTGTGTGCCACAGGAAGGCAGGTGGCTGGGCAGTCCTCAGCTTCCCTCCACAACCCAGTGACCATGGGTTGAAGCAGTGCTGAGGGCCCCGGGCCCAGGGACAGGCAGTTCTGTGGCTCACACCCTCATCCGCTGACTCCACTGGGAGAGACAACTTGACGGTCCCACCCTTTTTCTGGTCCACGTGAATTTGTGAGCCCTGACCTAGTTTCAGAATCAGTTAAAGGCCTATGAGCAAGGAGAAAAACAAGAGATGAGATGGTTACAAGTACACAGAGAAGCCAAAAGAGATCTGAGGACATTTTGAGAAGGAGAAACAGAGCTGAACGCAGACACTGGGCCTGGGATCAGCTCTATTCACAAGGTCACTCAGGGGCACAGGAGCAGGGGTTCGTGCTGGGTGACTGACCCCAGACCAGTCCCTTGACCACCCTGAGACTTAGTCTCTTTTCCCATAAGAAGGGCTACTATTTCACCTAATTATAATACAAATCCTTGCCTGGATTTTTTCCGGGATTGTGAAAGGAGATGATCGATGAGAAACGGGATGCTTTTCTAAACAAAGGAGAGCTCATAAAGTCGCAAAAGATAGTCACTTTTAATAAGAAAAGGCTAGATTATAAAATTGTGAGGTTTGGCCTAAATGTTGAATTCTAAAACTCTCTTTCTAAAATTTCCCTTTAAAGCAGATAGAAGCACAGTTTATTTAAGCAAGGGAATGACAAAAAAAAAATATGGAGAAATCCTGTCTGCCTGCTCATCCCTGCCTGTCCCCTAGAGAACCACAGGCATCCTGACAGTTTCGAAATTAAACGTGGACTGTTTCTGCACTCATCCCTGTTCAGCAAATTCAACTTGGAAACAGATTTCATTCAGACAGTGATTGTTAATGTGCTCATATGATTTAGGGGCTAATGCTTTCCTTTGTGGCATAACTGGAAGAACCATTAAAGGAAAAAGTATTCAGTGATACTTGTTAAAGCACGGCAACGCCGACTGCACTCAGGCTCCTCTCAACAGGTATCCGGACAATGGGATTTTGCAGTGGGGAAGAGAAATTGACCTCAACTCCCAATACAGCACTGGCAAGTGGGGTCTGACAGCCACAGAGGAGGGTGAGGATCAGTGGGTGGAAAATTCCTCGGAGGAAGTCAGGGGTCAGCAAGGGTCAGGGACAGTCTGGATAAAATTATCTCATAGGATTCTTGCTGAAGACAGGCCAGGGTGATCAGATGTCACCTGGTGGATGGTGGAGGATAAGGAACCTGATCAGATGTTGAGTAGCAGGTTCTGGCTAAATGGGCTGAGCAGTGTTCTTGCTGACACTGAATTTTACAAGGATATGCACAGATGGGTCCGGGAGAAGGTTCTGGAGCCTGACTAAAGCTCGATCAAGCAGAGAGTCTTCGTCAGAATGTGCCAGTGTGCAATACCCTGAGCTCGCCTGGGTTCAGCCAGGATAAGAGAAGCCCTTCTATTTCCAGGCAACAGGGCAGCTGCTGTGAGTGTGGCATTGACAAGCAGATTCCACTGTGATATTTTTAGAAAAAGAATTGTGGAAAAGGTTGACAAGTCCTAGGACTCTCTGATTACCTTTATTCATATAGACAGGGACCCTGCAACCAATCTTTGCCAGGCCCCCATGTACCCGGGCTACCCTGCCAGTTTCCTGGAGTCAGCTCCCCAAATTGGCCATCCCTTGGTTTGGCTACAAGGTGTCAGTTCATGTCCCTTTTTCCTGTGTTGTGGGGGAGGAAGGATCCCTCTTTTCAGGGGACATTTCTTTATTATTATTATTATTATATCTCTGTTGTGGTACCAGTACCATGCTGTTTTGGTTACTGTGCCTTGTAGTACAGTTTGAAGTCAGGTAGCATGATGCCTCCAGCTTTGTTCTTTTGACTTAGGATTGTCTTGGCAATGCAGGGTCTTTTTTGGTTCCATATGAACTTTAAAGCAGTTTTTTCCAATTCTGTGAAGAAAGTCATTGGTAGCTTAATGGGGATGGCATTGAATCTATAAATTACTTTGGGCAGAATGGCCATTTTCACAATATTGATTCTTCCTATCCATGAGCATGGTATGCTCTTCCATTTGTTAGTGTCCTCTTTTATTTCACTGAGCAGTGGTTTGTAGTTCTCCTTGAAGAGGTCCTTTACATCCCTTCTAAGTTGGATTCCTAGGTATTTTATTCTCTTTGAAGCTGCTGTTAATAGGAGTTCATTAATGATTTGGCTGTCTGTCTGTTATTGGTGTATAAGAAAGCTTGTGATTTTTGCACATTGATTTTGTATCCTGAGACTTTGCTGAAGTTGCTTATCAGCTTAAGGAGATTTTCGGCTGAGACAGTGGGGTTTTCTCAATATACACTCATGTCATCTGCAAACAGGGACAAGTTGACTTCTCATTTCCTAATTGAATACCATTTATTTCTTTCTCTTGCCTGATTGCCCCGACCAGAACTTCCAACACTATGTTGAATAGGAGTGGTGAGAGAGGGCATCCCTGTCTTGTGCCAGTTTTCAAAGGGAATGCTTCCAGTTTTTGCCCGTTCAGTATGATATTGGCTGTGGGTTTGTCCTAAATAACTCTTATTATTTTGAGATACATTCCATTAATATCGAATTTATTGAGAGTTCTTAGCATGAAGGGCTGTTGAATTTTATCAAAGGCCTTTTCTGCATCTATTGAGATAATCATGTGGTTTTTGTCTTTGGTTCTGTTTATATGCTGGATTCCTTTTATTGATTTGCATACGTTGAACCAGTCTTGCGTCCCAGGGATGAAGCCGACTTGATCATGGTGGATAAGCTTTTTGATGTGCTGCTGGATTCGGTTTGCCAGTATTTTATTGAGGATTTTTGCATCAATGTTCATCAGGGATATTGGTCTAAAATTCTCTTTTTTTGTTGTTGTATCTCTGTCAGGCTTTGGTATCAGGATGATGTTGGCCTCGTAAAATGAGTTAGGGAGGATACCCTCTTTTCTATTGAATGGAATAGTTTCAGAAGGAATGGTACCAACTCCTCCTTGTACCTCTGGTAGAATTTGGCTGTGAATCCGTCTGGTCCTGGACTTTTTTTGGTTGGTAGGCTATTAATTATTGCCTCAATTTCAGAACCTGCTATTGGTCTATTCAAGGATTCAACTTCGTCCTGGTTTAGTCTTGGGAGAGTGTAAGTGTCCAGGAAATTATCCATTTCTTCTAGGTTTTCCAGTTTATTTGCATAGAGGTGTTTATCGTATTCTCTGATGGTAGTTTGTATTTCTGTGGGGTTGGTGGTGATAACCCCTTTATCATTTTTTATTGCGTCTTTTGATTCTTCTCTCTTTTCTTCTTTATTAGTCTTGCTAGCAGTCTATCAATTTTGTTGATTCCTTCAAAAAACCAGCTCCTAGATTCATTGATTTTTTGGAGGGTGTTTTGAGTCTCTATCTCATTCAGTTCTGCTCTGATCTTAGTTATTTCTTGCCTTCTGCTAGCTTTTGAATGTGTTTGCTCTTGCTTCTCTAGTTGTTTTAATTTTGATGGTAGAGTGTCAATTTTTGATCTCTCCTGCTTTCTCTTGTAGGCATTTAGTGCTATAAATTTCCCTCTACACACTGCTTTAAAAGCATCCCAGAGATTCTGGTATGTGGTATCTTTGTTCTCATTGGTTTCAAAGAACATCTTTATTTCTGCCTTCATTTCATTATGTACCCAGTAGTCATTCAGGAGCAGGTTGTTCAGTTTCCATGTAGTTGAGTGGTTTTGATTGAGTTTCTTAGTCCTGAGTTCCAGTTTGATTGCACTGTGGTCTGAGAGATAGTTTGTTATAATTTCTGTTCTTGTACATTTGCTGAGGAGTGCTTTACTTCCAACTATGTGGTCAATTTTGGAATAAGTGTGATGTGGTGCTGAGAAGAATGTATATTCTGTTGATTTGGGGTGGAGAGTTCTGTACATGTCTATTAGGTCTGCTTGGTGCAGAGTTGAGTTCAATTCCTGGATATCCTTGTCAACTTTCTGTCTCATTGATCTGTCTAATGTTGACAGTGGTGTGTTAAAGTCTCCCATTATTATTGTATGGGAGTCTAAGTCTCTTTGTAAGTCTCTAAGGACTGGCTTTATGAATCTGAGTGCTCCTGTATTGGGTGCATATATATTTAAGATAGTTAGCTCTTCCTGATGAATTGATCCCTTTACCATTATGTAATGGCTTTCTTTGTCTCTTTTGATCTTTGATGGTTTAAAATCTATTTTATCAGAGACTAGGATTGCAACCCCTGCTTTTTTTTGTTTTCCATTTGCTTGGTAGATCTTCCTCTATCCCTTTATTTTGAGCCTATGTGTGTCTCTGCATGTGAGACAGGTCTCCTGAATACAGCAAACTGATGGGTCTTGACTCTTTATCCAATTTGCCAGTCTGTGTCTTTTAATTGGACCATTTAGTCCATTTACATTTAAGGTTAATATTGTTATGTGTGAACTTGATCCTGTCATTATGATATTAGCTGGTTATTTTGCTCGCTAGTTGATGCAGTTTCTTCCTAGCATTGATGGGCTTTACATTTTGACATGTTTTTGCAATGGCTGGTACTTGTTGTTCCTTTCCATGTTTAGTGCTTCCTTCAGGATCACTTGTACAGCAGGCCTGGTGGTGACAAATTCTCTAAGAGTTTGCTTGTCTGTAAAGGATTTTATTTCTCCTTCACTTATGAAACTTAGTTTGGCTGGATATGAAATTCTGGGTTGAAAATTCTTTTCTTTAAGAATGTTGAATATTGGTCCCTACTCTCTTCTTGCTTGGCGAGTTTCTGCCGAGAGATCTGCTGTTAGTCTGATGGGCTTCCCTTTGTGGGTAACCCGACCTTTCTCTCTGGCTGCCCTTAACATTTCTTTCTTCATTTCAACTTTGTTGAATCTGGCAATTATGTGCCTTGGATTGCTCTTCTCAAGGATTATCTTTGTGGCATTCTCTGTATTTCCTGGATTTGAATGTTGGCCTGCCTTACTAGGTTGGGGAAGTTCTCCTGGATGATATCCTGCAGAATGTTTTCCAACTTGGTTCCATTTTCCCCGTCACTTTCAGGCACACCAATTAGACATAGATTTGGTCTTTTCACATAATCCCATATTTCTTGGAGGCTTTCTTCATTTCTTTTTACTCTTTTTTCTCTACACTTCTCTTCTCACTTCATTTCATTCGTTTGATCTTCAATCGCTGATACTCTTTCTTCCAGTTGATTGAGTCGGTTACTGAAGCTTGTGCATTTGTCACATAGTTCTCATGTTATGGTTTTCATCTCTATCAGTTCTTTTAAGGTCTTCTCTGCATTGATTATTCTAGTTATCCATTCATCCATTCTTTTTTCAAGGTTTTCAGTTTCTTTGCACTGGTTACGTAGTTCCTCCTTTAGCTCTGAGAAGTTTGATCGACTGAAGCCTTCTTCTCTCAACCTGTCAAAGTCATTCTCCATCCAGCTTTGCTCCATTGCTGGTGATGAACTGCGTTCCTTTGGAGGGGGAGATGCACTCTGATTTTTTGAATTTCCAGCTTTTCTGCACTGCTTTTTCCTCATCTTTGTGGTTTTATCTGCCTTTGGTCTTTGATGGTGGTGACGTACTGATGGGGTTTTGGTGTGGGTGTCCCTTCTGTTTGTTAGTTTTCCTTCTAACACTCAGGACCCTCAGCTGTAGGTCTGTTGGAGATTGCTTGAGGTCCACTCCAGACCCTGTTTGCCTGGGTATCAGCAGCTGAGTTTGCAGAAGATAGAATATTGCTGAACAGTGAGTGTTGCTGTCTGATTCTTGCTCTGGAAGCTTCGTCTCAGGGGTGTACCCCACCATGTGAGGTGTGAGGTGTCGGTCTGCACCTAGTGGGGGATGTCTCCCAGTTAGGCTACTCAGGGATCAGGGACCCACTTGAGCAGGCAGTCTGTCTGTTCTCAGATCTCAACCTCCATGCTGGGAGATCCACTGCTCT